ATTGCAACAACAATAACAATATATCATCTAGATCATAAATATTTTCATAATATCACAGAATAAAAAATTAAATCACATTATATTTAGCCCCCGTTTGGTAGGCATTATAGCAAAATAAAGCATTAATTCTTTCAAATCAAAAACAGTAAATGACAGCCATGTATTGTCAAGCAAATGACCTTTTTATCCCATTATTCCAATTTTGCCCCTCCATGACAATCGAGTGAAAAACCAATAATTTTTCATAAAAAAATGATGATTGCACGTGTGTTTCTTGTTTATTGCACGGGGAAAACATTTTTGTACGTAATACCATTCGTTTGACTTTGTTTTCCATAAAAATTGCCAATAAAAGTGATAATTTTTGTATCCACATGTCTACAATTTCATCCAATAGCAGAAAACAAACAGAAAGTAATGAAAAAAAAAAACCTAAAAAAAAAAGACCTGGGTTATTTATATCCCACCAAAATGGTGGGACTTTATTTTCATCAACACCATGGAAAGATTGTAACCGTGTGAGGCCAACCAAGAAAATCAATTGCAATGAACAAAATAATGGTGAGACTTTATTTTCATCAAAACCATGTGATGTTTTGACAGTCGGATGCACTCGATTTTCACACAACGGAGTTAAAAAAAGAAAACAAACAAACCATTTCATTGTTGCTGTGTCATATAATCGCGAAATCTTTCTCACTCACTTCGATGCATTTCCGGAGCATTAATTTCAGCATGCATTTCATCTTCAGCGGTTGGTAGCTCCACCTCGAATGCATCCTTATCCGTTCCAGCTGTAGTGAACGCCGCATCCACGACTCCAGAACGATGTAGAAAATTATAAATACCCATTGTCGCAACAACAACGACAACTTGAGTGCGAAACGACTAGCTGGGCATTCGATCAAGGATTTGCCATCTTTCCTTCACACCAAACGCACGTTCGATTACATTCCTGCAGGACGAGTGTTTGTAGTTAAACCACTCACGAGCATTATGAAAATGACTACGACGACCTGTTCCATCGTCGTGAAACTCTTGAAAATGTTACAAGATATCTGATCCTTTGTAAGGTGCCATATATCCCGATTGATGTGCGAACCCCGAGTCTACCAAATAATATTTTCCCGCTGCTGATTCTAGGATACAAATTTCTAGACTATGTGTTGCACGTGCAGTATACTAGCGTCATGCGTATTCCCGGTTGTGCCAGCAAGCACGAAAGTGAAGCACAAATTAAAGTCACAAATCGCCAACACATTTTTCGTCGGCACTCCTTTTCGGCCGATGAAGTTCACCCGCTCGTGACACAGAAGCACAGCTTTCACATGTATTCCATCTATGGCACCTATGCAATCTTCAAACAATGGATGCTTATTCAGATCTAGCCTGTGGGGATCTGCACCCTTGTTGTAGTTCAGTCTTGGCTATATGAGCCGAGTAGATAACGCAACGACCGCTCGAAGAACCTCCTTGAAGTACTGACATATTTTTTGCAATGAATGATTGAAAATTGTATTAAATTGTATTCACCTGCCAGTAACCCTTTCAATGCGCTAATATACACAAGAACATACCGACCTTCTCATATATATATATATCGACTTGCTGGCTACTGCATAGGCCGTATTCATCCCTCAAGGTATGAGCAAAGTGTCGTAGTTGCTGTGGGTACATCCGGGACTCTAAATAGCATATTTGTGCATTTTCCTCAATCGCTTCCTTCATAAACATATGACCGTTTCTAGAGAAAGGAAATCTTCGGATGCGACGTTGTTGTTTGAAATAGTAGTGTGACGCATCGTTTGCTACAATTCGACAATACGTCATCCATTTTGTGACGTTATTTTCCAGTTGGCCTATGAACTCTTCATCATCGACTTCTTCGTAGTCTTCTGATCCCAAAAGAATATCACAGTTAAAATCTAACTTGTCAATGATGTAATTATCCAAAATTACTGATTTGGCTAGTAATTTTGGAAAAAAATTATAAGATATTGAAGCTTTCTCTGAATGGAATGATGTGTTACTATCATAGCAATCATCCCAAGAATTTTTATATACGCACGTTTAGACTGTTTGCACGTGAAATTTATGTCATGAAACATGGAATCTTTGATTGTACCGCACATATTATTATAAAGGATGCTTATACGATAACGCATGTGAACCTATTTCGTAGTTTTATGCTCTCCTATGAAACATGGAATCTTTGTTTGTACCGCACAAATTTTTATAAAGGATGCTTATACGATAACACATGTGAACCTATTTCGTAGTTTTATGCTCTCCAGTAGCTAATAAAGCACATGACACATTGTACACAATTTGAAAAGTACATACTAAGGCATATTATACAAACATAAAACTACAAATCTTAAAAAGTAATAGCCAAAAAAAAAAGATCATACATGAAAATATGAATACAGACCTAGAGTTAATTTATGAGCAAACTACGAACGGGACTTGTTCTCCCTATTGAATTGCTACTCAATCCACTCAAATTTCTCATCGGTGTCCGCGAAAACGTCAAGCATGTCTCGAAAACGCTTCCGTGCTAGAAGCGTACAAGCAAAGAAGTACATGGACGTGCGTCGTTTCATCCTTCCTGCCGCCAACAACTCCTCCACGCTGGCCACACCCGCGTTCTTATCCAGGTTGAAAATTTTGTTTATCTGCGTCACCACTTCTTCGACGGCACTGTTTACCCGATCAACGGAGTACGAAAAATCCCTCAATGAAACTTTCTTCTTCTTCCATTTCCGGGAACTTGAGCCCAACTTCCTCTTATCCTCGCCGCGAGGTCCACACAAATTAACATCAGAGATACAGTGCCCCTCGTCAGCCTCATCAATCGACCCAGTGCTCTCCCCATCCACAGGGATCGCATCCCTCAGGTCCCCAGCTGCACTGTCCTCTAACAAACCGAAGCCTGTACTACAACTTGGTGGGGATTACTGCGTACTTATCCCCATCGTAGCTATCCCCGAAAAGGTGCTGATATCGGATGTATCTTACTGATATCTTTGTCCTTGAAGTCCTTGTAATCTTTGTTTTCCTGCAACCACAAAAAGACCCAATTTTCAAATGTGCAAAACATGTGGAACCCCATTTTATTCTTGCCAAAATCTAACTCTTCCTAAGTGATAATTTCCATAGCCACCATTCTCAACTATCTAAAGTGCATGATAAATAACATACTAAACAAGGAAACTTATATTATCGAACAACAAGCAAGATTTCCAGGAGACAAAAAGTAACAACGAGGCAGCCAATTTACCTTTATTTTTCTGTTCCACCATTCCTCAGATGCAATTATTAGGCCATCGGATGGGTTGAACTCAACCCCGGTACAGGAAAGTAGTTCGATAAGCCTTTTGTGCTCCCGACGCATTGCATCCCATTGGTTGCGAAGCTGGACTTTGTTCCAATTGTGGCCAGATATGGAGTTGAACAATGTGAGACACGATCCCAGCCAAATTTCATGAAACACTTTCCATGTCGATGCCCTTTGACAATCGCAATTTCACAGATGTCTATAAAGCAACATCTCTCGACTTCTCGCCATTTCATATATTTTTTTGGACGCTTCACCAATCGAGTAATCGTCAACTGAAACGGACGAACCAACTCGGTTGTGGTTGCCAGATTGCATGGGATTTCAAAGGTGAATGGAAATTGAAGCAGGTTCAACCAAAGCAAGAACAAGAAACCCAAAACCAGAAGAAACCCCAAAATCAGGGGCTGCCCATAGAAGGAAATACCTGCAAATTGAATGGGAACATGGCTCTGGGAAACAAATGCTGTCCCCTTGAAAATGAAACGTGAAAGCAGCCAAATTTCTTGAGTCCCCTGCAGGAAGTGAAAATCGATTTCCTGTTGGAAATCGATTTTTTTGTTAAAAAGGGGAAAATTCAGATTGCCGGTTTGGCATGTTGCAATTGAACATCTCTAATGTACAGTTATGGTAATGCAATGTCGAATCCATTTTATCCAGTGACAGAATCAAAGACGATCGAAAAGTTGTGAAAATAATTTCCCTGTTCTTATCTTGTGAAAATAATTTCCCTGTTCTTATCACTGGATCACCTAATGAAATAACGTGGAGCTGCAGCAAATTAAAGTGTCGTCGATCTGTGCAAAAACGACGTAATACTAACCTAAATATATTATGACCGCGTAAGGAGCTGCAGCAAACCGAGTAGGGAGAAGCTGAACTTCAGACCCAAATGAAACCGTCGTCGATCTGTGAAGGCAGTTGCAAGATTTCCCAAAAAAAAAAAAAAGATAAGCACGGCAGTAGCTGGTATTAGTGATGATGAATTTTTGCTCACCTGAAAACTTGAGATGTTGGCCGTGAGTTGTACCTTTGGATTTCCAAGGAGAGAAGCCGTGTGAAATTTCTCCAGTGTTGGTGAGGAAGAGGGTAAGGGTAGAAATAGGTAATAACCTTCTGCTGCTACAGTGAAAGTAGACAAGGTGGCCTGCTATATGTCAGGCTTTACTGTTCTAACGGGTGGATTTTTTATACTCAATGGAAACAAAAATGTGGCCCAAACAGGCTCTTAACCATATATTGCACCCAATTACCTCATAGAAGGCACAAATTCGTATTAATTAATAACGGATTATAGATTGAGAAAAGAAAAATTCAACCCCTCACACAAATCAATGATCCGATCAACAAGATATTGAAAAAAATGTAATTGAATTTAGAGACAAAACTATACAATAATCAATTAATATATCGGGGGGATGTTACACAATGGAATGAGTATTCTTAATCCAAATACCAATTTTGTGATTTACGATATCATTGTTGAAAAAGTCTCATTGTTTGGAGCAACCGAACAAGGGTGAACGAGTATATACGACAATAAATTTTTAAAATAAAGAAGGAAGGAAAAAAAAAAAAAAAAAATTGGGCCCCCTAAAGAATTGGACCTGACTCTTGGGCCTCTCCTCAGTCCAGCTATGACAGTCACCACTGAGCAATAGAATCACGAGGTCATGCAACATCCGGATTTTCTTGCATTAGGATCAGAATTTTGACCAGGGACAATGATTCTAGTACCCTTCAGAGATGCGGACTTCGCATAATCCAATCCATCACCAGCGGTGAGGGTGTTCTTGTTTATGATCCGGTATATTTCTGTCAGAATGGTCATAAATGCGCTTTCAACATTAGTCTTCTCGAGCGCTGATGTCTCCATAAAGTATAAATTCTCTCTTTCAGCGAACTCTTGGGCATCTTCTGTCGGAACTGCTTGAAGTGTTCCTAAATCACACTTGTTGCCGATCAGCATTATAACAATGTTCTTATCAGCATGTCCCCTGAGTTCCTCTAGCCACCTAGCAATGTGATCAAAGGATTGACGTTTTGTCATGTCATAGACCAACATCGCACCGACTGCACCTCGGTAATAGGCACTTGTTACTGCTCTGTACCTGAAACATAAAATTTTTCTAAGGCTCGACAAGGTCAAATGTTAAATAAATCTAAAATTCAGAGTGAGAGCACAAATTTCATCCTGCAATGTCTGTGCTCGAAAGTAAGCAGTCAGATCTTTCAAGCAGCAACTCATGCTTATAGTGTAGTCAGATCTTTCAAGCAGCCACTCATATGCTTATAGTGTATTCAAATAAACATTGTTTGCCCGTCAACTAGAAAAGTAGCATTTAAATATACACTATTGTACTAATCAATTAACATTGGCACTGCTCCAATTGATCTAAATCACCCAGAAAACATAAATAATATTCCCAAGTTGTTACCAGTGCAGAATTGTGCATAATGTTAAATCAGGATAGATCATGGAACCAGCAAAGTCGATATTTAGCAAACCATGAAACTTTTTAAAAGCATGATGAATTTTTAAGCACATCAGTGCCAGGATTATCTTTATCTGTTAAGCCATCATACATTTCTTATTGATTTCGGGTCTTAAGATATTTGTAACATAGACAAACACAATCATGAATGTTAACTGTAGGAAAACCAAGGCTCTTGCAAAATAATCTTTCATGGATTGAGACATGCATCAGTAAATTCTACCATATTCCCAATCATACATGAACTTCGCTGGGCGGAGAATTAAGTATAATCTGAGGCGGCCAAAGATAAAGGAAGACAGAGAATTCTCTCATTAAGCAAACCCATTTTCTATTTTGTTGATTAAATTATATCAATTAATTAACTGGAGCAGTAAAAGACTCGTTGTTATTGGATAAGACTGTAAAGATAAAGGAAGACAGAGAATTCTCTCATTAAGCAAACACATTTTCTATTTTGTCAATTAAACTTATATCAGTTAATTAACTGGAACAGTAAAAGACTCATTATTGGATAAGACTGTAATTGGGTTGTTTATTTCTATGCTTCAAATTCATGTTTAGTCATTTACTTGATTATCATACATGACAATTGATCAAAAAGCGTTTGAGTGCTATTCTCCAGTTTGAATATTGGAAAGTATTGAGTAGTGAATACAGGTTATCTTTCTTAGTATAATATAGTTTCAGAATTACTAAGTCTATACCAACCTTTGTATGATGCAGACTGAATGGAGTACAATGGGATGTTGTAATTGACAGTGCCCTACTCCATTCTTCATTACTTGCATGCCGTGGATTATCTATCTAATCTTATATCTGACCTAAAAAGGCCTCGCTTGTAATACAGAAATTCTTAAAAGTAATTATAGAGAGAGTATAGGGTGGTGGTGAGATTCAAGGAAGACAGGAGTAATGCACTGCTCTGCTTTCCATTCAACATCCAACTGCAACGTAAAACAATAGATCATATTGAAAAGTACAACTTCGTCTAATGTTGTCCAATCCCTTTATTAGAAGCAACCCTACCACTGCATTCTTGGAATCAGAATTTCTGGAATATGAATTTTTATCAACAGTAAAAAATTTGTTAAAAAAAAATTCTTCATTGGCTAATTAGCTCCATAACTGAACACCTTTGGACTAAAAATAAAACTAGAATGAAAATGGCACCAGAAAATGACAATAATCAGTATAATTAACAAATTCCAGAAAGCTATTTAATAAAAAGGTTAAACGATTAAACTATTTAGAAGAAGAGGCAGGAAAGGAACAAACCTCTCTTGGCCTGCCGTGTCCCAAATCTGGGCTTTGACCGTTTTATTATCAATAACAAGAGTCTTTGTCTGGAATTCAACCCCAATGGTGGCCTTCGATTCCAAATTGAATTCATTCCTTGCGAACCTAGCCAGCAATTGGGATTTCCCCACTGCCGAATCTCCAATCAATACAATCTTAAATACATAATCAATCTTCTGATTAAAATCCCCATATAAATTAGACATTGCCACCACCCTCTAAATTAAATGCTGTTATACACCTCCTTTCAACCAATCCTTCAAATATTCAGATTATCAGAACATAACCTTGGAATCCGAATTTTCCTGCGTCTCAATGGATCGAGTGGGAAATCAAATGACGATAGAATTTCATGCATAACAGATAATTAAGAGAAAAAAAAACCATGGGTAGGGGGAGATTTCACGTAGAGAAGGGAATAAGAATGATAATTAAGATTTGTTTTAGGTTATCAATGTGAAGATTTGTTCATGGTTGAAATTGGATATTTTGCAAGGGAGAGCATGAAGAAAGATCAACGGCAAGTGCGTGACCCACTAACCGTTTTTTGTGCGCAAAGTGCCCCAAATTAAAATGTGAAATCATTTTTATTTAAATTTAAGGTAACATCAAACCTTTTTATTTATTTATTTATTCTTTAATTTTTCTTTTGAAAAACAATCAAAGGAAGGCGAGAGCTGTTATATTTGGTTGTTCAACGATCATAGAGATACGTAGAAAATACAAAAATAATCTTAAAATTAGAGGTCTTTTAAAAAATCATATAAAAAATATTTTGGAATTAAAAAATACTATATAAAATTAAATGTCACTTTTTAATAAGATAAAAGGGCAACTTACAGAAATAACCTTTAAATTAGAGATCTTTTGAAAAATCATATAAAAAGTATTTTAAAAGTAAAAAATACTGTATAAAATAAAGTGTCACTTTTCTATTAAAAAGTTACACATTGTCACTTTTTTTAATTAAGTATTAAAAACTAGTACAATATCGCTTTTTCAGTTAATTGCAACTTTTATTAAAAATTGATGTTATTTTATTCAAAAAAGTGACAGAAATTTCATGAAAGTGAAAGAAAAAAAATTTTAAAATCATTATATAAAATTAAGTGACACGATATATCTTTTTTATTAAAAAGGGAAAAAAAAAGTAACGTAACGTCACTTTTTTAAGTTAAGTGTCACTTTTTTATTACTATGTCACTTCTATTAAAAATGCGATGTTTGTTACTAAAAAAAAGTGATAGAAATTTTAAGAAAGTGACACCACGAAATTGATAAAAATTCAAAAAAGTTACAAACACTCCAAAAAGTGACAAAAATTCAAAAAGTTAACAAAACACAAATTAAAACATTGGAATCAGTTCAACATTATGACTGAAAAAAAAAAAAAAGAGTGACACAATTAGTGTCTGTCCTCTTTCTCCACTCAGCATTAAGCACCTTTAAGTTAATTAACTGATAAAACACCAATCAAAACGCTAAATATCTTTAAGTCAATCGACCGCCATCGTCATCTACCAATTCAACCAATCCATTCACCTCCACTTGAGACAAATATTCAAAAAAGTGACAAAAATTGAAAAAAAAAAAAAGAAGAAGATAATTTCTCATTATAAAGCCTCAAGAACACCAAAACAATTAAAACAATGTTGTACTTTAGCATTGAACACATTTACAACTTTTTATAGAAGGGACATCTAGGATGCACAAACGCTCTAATCAGTATGCACTCTTCAAACTATGAAAATCAGTAAAGCAGAGAGGAACAATCTTTATTGGAACAAAAAAACCAAGATATAAATCAAGCTGAACTCAATACTCTCAGAAATGCTGGTATTCAAGAGGTGGAGATTGTCTTCAAGTACAAACATCAACACAGTTGATACAAAATTATTAGCTCCACTAGGGTGTATATCATATTATTTTACAATATACTAGACACAAAATATTAACTTAGCTATTATTCATTTGTATGTAACTAGTTAGACAGAAACTGTCTACCACCCATTTGTCTTTACTTGTTGAAGTTACTTCGTCTCTCTCTGCTGTCCCAGCTCCTAAATCCTAAGGTGCAGCTAAATTGCATCGACTAGGAACCTCATATTTTGTGTAGGACTCAGTATTTCCACCACCTCCTAAACTAATTTTTTTCTTCAATGAATTCGCATCAATGAAATACAAGAATTAGTTGAAATAGAACATGACGACAAACATGTTTAAAATAGTTTAAACATAAATTCAAAAAAAAAAAAAAACCACCACAACATAGTTTAAAATAGTCTAAGCATAAATTTCAAGAAAAATCCATAGATGCGCACACGCATAGAAATCGGAATGTCGTGATCGAGTTTGGTGGGTTCTTGGAGGAGAAGGCAGTGGATATTCATAATCATACCAGTGTTTCTGTCTGGGCACATATCCTATTTCAATTGCCCATTTTCAAGAAGGATACAAGAAGGAAAGGTGAGGAAATCACCTTTAAGCTTTATTACGAGATATTATAATAATAGAAAGGACGATTAAGGTGAGAGATGCTTGAAGTATTGAATCAAGTGCAAGGAGATAGGGTTTTGAGCGTATTTATTACGGGGAGAAAGGATTTTAATTAGTTTTAGGGTATTATTTTAATTTGTTATTTTTTTTTAAGGATAATTGGCCTAATTACCCCAAGATAAAACAGGCGTTGAATCATAACTAAGGAATGGGCTATTAAGTCCATGCTTGTGTAGCCCATGCGCGCAAGCATGGACTCAAGCCATGCATGTGCCTGTAAGATTTTTTTTAGTTTTGATTCTTGGTATCTTTTCATGATAAAATTTAATTTTTCATGGATGATTGACAGTATTTCGTGGCTGTAAATTGAAATCTATAAATAAGTGATAGATTTCAATTATTAACACATTTTATTCCATTCATTTTCACATTCAAACCTTCAAACCGTTTTTCAAATTTCTAAAGAAAACACAAGTGTTTAAGTGTTTTCTTCTTAAAGGATTGTTCAATCCTACAAATTATTTGTTGTGAGTCCTTTAAACACTAAAAACAATCCTAGAGCGGACAAATATCTTTTGAGGACATCGATTACGCGTACAAGTTTCATTTCTAGTTTTTCGGTGTTTCTTTCTACTACTTTTGTTCTCTTCTCCCTTTCTTCCAAATTTTCGTAACAACAATCTCAAACAATATTCTTAGAGAACGAGAGAAACTTGGCTACCATCAAACTCAAGGATCAATACCTCATAAGGTTGGATTGATTTGATAAAACGAACTTCACCCGGTGGCAAGAAAAATTAAAGTTCTTACTACCGGCATTGGATCTTCCACATACTTGATTCGAACTGGCACCACTACCAGAATCTACAAATGGAGACTCTAATGTTGTATGGGTTGAAAGACAAAAATGCCAAGAGGATGAATTAATTTATAGGGGTCACATTCTAATTGCACTATTTGACCATCTATACGATCTCTACACCAACTTCGAAGAAAGAGATTTGGGATGCATAAAAAAAAATACAAAATCAAGGAAGAAGGTACAAAGGAATTTCTAATATCAAGGTATTTCGATTTTAAGTTGTTGGAGAATATTTCCCTATTTTCTCAAGCAAGTGAATTGTAAGTGCTTGTCAACAAAATGAAGGTGGTCAAAATAGAAATTTCGAAATCTTTCCAAGTGGGAGCAATCATTGTGAAAATCTGAGAGAATTGGAAAGGATATCGAAAGAAAATTCTTCATAGTTCCAAAGATTATTATTTGAAATAAATTCAGAATCATCTCCGAATTAAGAAAGAATTGTCGGTAAGAGATAAGAATGAAAAGTTTTATGAAGTCATTTCAAAAAACAATGCCGTGAAAAAGATCGAACATTCCAACAAATCAGTCAAAATGAGATCTTCCAACAAGGACTACAAAAAGCTCAAGAAGTATCCCAAAGGAGATTCTTTTGTGAGTGAAAAACCCGAACATTGTGTAAAAGATTGTTAGCATCGAAAACAAAATAAGAAAGAGGGCAAAGTAAACTCCATTGATGAAAATAATATTATGACTATCGTGAGCGAAATCAATGTTATCAAAGAAAAAGTTCATAGTTGGTGATATGATACATGTGTAACAATTTATGTTTCATATGATAAGTCACTCTTCAAGATTTATCACGAGCCGACAGAGAACAAGAGATACAAATGAGTAATGAAGATTGTTCAAAAATGGTTAGGAAATGAAATGTTAATATCATCTTCACTTTCGAAAAAACTGTTACCTTAACTAATGTGTTACATTTTCTTGACATGAACATGAACTTAGTGGAGATATTACATTATGTCATACTATATTAAGTCACATAGGTGCTAGTACAATGAAAATAATATTTAAATATGACATGATTGCTTATTATGTGAATGATGCTAATAAATGTAAAACTTGTATAGAATCTAAAATGATAAAGAAGTCTTATCATAGTGTACATAGGACTCCACAAATTTTAGAACTTGTTCATACAGATATATATGAATTGATTGTAATTTTAACTAGAGAAGGATATAGGTATTTTATTACCTTTATATGCGATCATTCTAGATATACGTATGTTTATTTAATAAAACATAAACATGAAGCTTTTGATATGTTTAAAATTTATAGAAATGAAGTTGAAAATTATTTAACCAAGAAAATAAAAAAATTAAAACTGATAGAGGTGGTAAATAATTTTCTAGTGATTTCAATTCATTTTGTGGGCAAGGAGACATAATACATCAATGTTCTGTACATAAGGCACCAGAACAAAAATGTCTTGGCTGAAAGGAAAGTAGGACATTAGTTAAAATGATAAATGCTATGTTAACTTATATTAAGTTTCCATTTAATTTATGAGATGAAGCTTTATTGAGTGCATATGAAATATTAAATAGAATTCCTTCAAAATTCACTAAGGTTTCTCCATATGAATTGTGGAAAGGAAGAAAACAGAACATTGGATATTTTAAAACATGGAGGTGCCTTATATATTGTAAGAGCATGGACCTTAAAAGGACCAAGTTGGGTCTAAGAGAGATTAAATATGCATTTGTTGGATATACTAGTAATAGAGAATCCTATCTATTACTAAATTTGGAGACCAATTAGATAATTGAGTCAAATGACGTGGAGTTCTTTGAGAATTCATTATTTTTGGATAATGATTTAAAGGAAACTTATAAACAGATT